GGGGGGGGGGGGGGGGGGGGGGGGGGGGGGGGGGGGGGGGGGGGGGGGGGGGGAGGAGAGGGAGGAGAAGAAAGTGGGGCTCCTGGGGGTGGGGGATGGGGCGACAAGGGGTGTCGAAGAGAGCTTCCTTCAGTTTTAGCACTGCTACCTGTGCCACTGGACGAAAGACCCATCGTCCCCCCGCCCCCACTCCGGATCCGCCAGTGAAGGGTACTCGCAACCAGGCATGTGGAGCTGCATATACTGACTGGATTGGCAGTCAACTGCGCCGAATTCCACTGCTTAATGGTACTTGCCAAGAGGGGCGCGGGAATGTACCATTGAGCGGCATTTGTCTAAAAGAGCTTAAAGTCCCGATGGACTTACATTTTTCCGAAACGGATCTTACGAGCTATCGGGCAGACACTGTGCACGGACGGCCAAGGGCACTACTCGTGGAAAAAGTGACTTTTCCCAAAATTTTTCTAACGAAAGGATTTGTGTGATTGTGAATGATACGGGCGTCAGATAGGAGCAGAACTGATGGCACTGACCACCAAAAGAACAAAGACTGGACCAGTGAGTGGTACTCGCGAGCAAGAGGCAAAAGACTGTTTCGGGATTGGTACTTGCAAGACGCAAAACGACATCCGCTGTAAATTTACTTATAGATACAAGGCCTGAGGGATGGAAGTCAACAGTGCGAAAGAGAGCTTCTCGCTCCTAGGTCTGCTTTGAAATCTTTGGAGGCTGTGGTAGAGGATTTAATGCCTACGTGGCGTAAATCCTTTGTCGGTTTGGCTAGGTTATGTACATTTGAAGAGTAGAAGGAAGGGACCAACAATCAGCGATTTCGCGGAATCCAGAAGAGTTGATCATGCTCGAACAGCGGACAACCAGTCAACTGTGCACCGTGGTTTCCCAGCTTGCCGTCTTCTCCGTCCTGCAACCTATCGATCTTTCCACGCAGAATAACGAAGATCAAGAAACGTGAAAGCAGGAGTATTATGGAGAGGGCCGTTAAGAGCGGAAATGCTTGTTACGAAATTCCACCAACTTAAAATACATCATTAATAACTTTAAACAATAACTTAAAACAAGAGAAAAGTTAAAATAAATGTATCAGTAATAAAAAGGAAGATGCATTAAATCAAGTTTTTACCAACGAGAGGTCGAATATGAGATTGTTAGTGTCCACGCGGGAACGTTCAATGTTCACGGAGAGAGAGACATGGTCAATACACATCGGGTTTACTGACATTCCCAGTGATATGTAGCTAAATTCGCCCAAATCGCAATGCTCCTCGTACTCAGTGCTGCCATCGTTTTCAGTGCAGACGAAAAATATCATATTTTCAATGCCCTATCGAGAAAAGTGATCTGATGAACACGCAGCTGGCGTTGAAAGGATGAATGTGGAGCAGCGAGAAGTAAGAGTATCCGAACACAGAAGGAATCCCGATGACCAATGAAAAAAAAAATATGCCATGCAATAAAATCAAGATTTAACGGACAGTGCTCAGCAGTGGTACGTCGAAGAAGACGCTGGTTGGGCAATCATCACCATCATCGAATGGAAATGATCGGATTGTTGTCCAGGACAACTTTTCAAAAGTGACCACTGCTGGACAGTGCACATTTAGTTGTTATGTAATGTGTTGCCGTCGCTGCTGCTTCTGCCTGTATTTACAATCAGGAGATCGTTCTCGAGCATTGGCTGTAGCAGCAGCAGCAGCAGCAGCCGACCCTTCCGACGAGGTGACAAGGTTCAGGTGACAAATCCGAAGTCGGCCAAACATGTTTCTTATTGTTTCCCGGTCGCCACAGACTGCATGAGAAAGGTGATGAATAAATGAGACAAGGCCTGGTGATCTGACAGTTAGCAAAGCAGTCCTAGACTTTTTTTCTAAGCAAAATTTCACAAACAAACATTTTATATGACACAAAAACAATGGGATGGGAGGTTGGCCGCGCTCAGCTGGGA